AGGGAAAGCAGTATTCATCTTGCAAACCAGTGTTGTTTAATATGCTTGAAACTTTGAGGCAACTCTCTGATTACTACTACTACTACCACCACCAACAACAACAACAATAATAATACCATCATCATTATCATTATTTCTTCAGTGCTAATATTTCCAGTTGGCCAACTGTATCAGTATTTTGCAGGAAACATAAACAGGAGTCTTGTGGCCTCTTTAACACTAACAAGTGTTTTCCTAGCATTAGCTTTTAAAGGGGAAAGTACATCATGAAATTTATGCTGGGGGGGGGAGCTTTGTTAAGAATTTAAGAAGAGTCTTGTTGGATCAGACCAGTGATCCATTCAGGCCAGCATCCTATTTCACACAGGGGCCAATGAGTTCCCCTGGGGTTCCAACAAGGCCTTCTTAACACTAGAGTTGAGATGTTTACTGTCTCTGAATGTGGAGGTCAGTTTTTAAGGTGCCCCAAGACCCCTGTCCATTTTTTCTCAGATGCCCTTCACCAGACAAAATAGGTGGATTCTGCGAGATAACACAAACCTCCCTAGATTCACTCACCGGTTGTGAAAATGGAGCAATGCAAGCCACCCACCCTCCTAACTGAAGGGTTGTTCATACCAGCTTGACCATCCCTGGATATCTTATCACTCATAATATATAAATGTCAGCTGCCTCCATTGACATGTGTATTGTCTGAAGCAATGCAGCAAGATGTAATGTGAAATGTACCTGTAATGTATGAAGTCTGATGGCTCTTTCAGCTGCAGTTCAGCATGGATGTTTCAGTCACTGAGCTAGGGTCAGGACATGCAAATTTTGCCACCCAACAAACACTTCAAGAAAAATTCTTTTGCCTCTTCTAAGCAAAAAAGGAAAATAAAATGCCAGAAAACCTCCTGCACATTCTGCATTCTTTCCCTCCTCTGCCGCCAAAGCATTTCCCTCCCCACATGGCTGCTGGATAAGGAGCAATGATGCTGGTGTACCAGACAGGACTGTCTGGAGATTAATAGATAGTCTGTTCACTGTTTTGTTCCTAATCTGTCAAGCACTCAAAAACATGTCCGGTGTGTAATTAAAACAAGACTCTCCAATGTGCTTGGAAATAATAGATTTCTCCCCAGGCCAGAGTCCAAATAAATGTGATACCTTTCATGATTAAAAACTTCCTAGATCAAACAGGGGCAAACTTCTTCAGCACTGAAGACCATGTTGGAACTATGGCACAACCATGATTGCTGTGCCTAATTTGCATGTAAAATAAGCATCATTCACATGTGGCAAATTATGACTATATTTATGTATAGTGTTCATTGTTCGTTGCATGTTTTGCATCATTAAAGAGATACTGAAACTTGTATTAGTAAAAAAAGAGCAAGAGTCCAGTAGCACCTTAGAGACTAATAAAATTTGTGGCAGGGTATGAGCTTTTGTGAGTCACTGCTTTATCTGAAGAAGTGAGCAGTCACTCACAAAAGCTCATACCCTGCCACAAATTTTGTTAATCTCTGCTACTGGTCTATTGGCCTTTTCTGCTGCTACGGACAGACTAACACAGCTACCCATCTTGGAATTTTATTGTTCTAGGAATATCTCCATATTTTAGCAACATTAGGGTTACTGGGCAATCCCCAATGATTTTTCTTCTTGTACTTCATAGACATGAGAGCCTTCTTTTCCCCTGCAGAGAAGGGGCCATAGTTTAGTGGCAGATGACATGTTTTGTCTGTAGCAGTCTCAGTTTCAATCCCACAAGACTGCCTTCTATCAAGCCAGACCATTAGTCCCTCCAGCTCAGTCTTGTCTAGTGTCAACTGGCAACATTCTCCTGTGTCTCAGGCCTAGAGAGGTCTTTCATTATTTCTCAACATTCTGTTCTCTGAAACCCTTTGCCTAGACATGCCAGGGTTTGAACTGAGGACCTTCTGCATGCAAAGCATTTGCTCTACTACTGAGGTACAGCTCTTCCCTCTCCATATAAATGATCTCAGGGAGCTGATGTTGAGAAGAGCTTTCTTGGTCTGAGAGCCAATGCTAGTCAAAACAGACCATACTGAAAAAGATGTATCCACGAAGCTGTAGTTATGGAATGGATCTGCGGGATCCAATCCCTTGTGTGATGTGGCTCTTAAGCAATCATTTGTATGTGCCTTCCCTTTATGAAAAATGTGAACTTTGCTTTCAAAACTGCTGAACAAGACTAGTCTGACCTCATCAGACCTCCGAAATAAAGCAGTGTCAACACTGATTAATATTTGGATGGAAGACCACCAAGGAAGTCCAGGTTGCTTGCTATACAGAGGAAATGGCAAACCATCTATGCTTGTCTCATGCCTTGTGAAATGCCTATGAGGTCACCATAAGTTGGCTGTGACTGGACAGCACTTTCCACGAAACAAAGCTCCCTCAGCCAGTGACAAAACACTTATCTGTCTATATGTGAGACTCTGGGTTGCAACTGAATCTTTCTTTGTGCACTGGCAAGTGGTGGACCTGTTTACGTTCTGGTGTTTATCCATTAACTCCACTTGTATCCCACCTCTGCCGCCAGTGGGGTTCCAATGCTGCTTACATCATTCTCCTCTCCATTTTGGCATGTTCTTTCATTCTCATGGGCCAGGACGTGAGAAGTCTAAGTTCTATCCACCTTCCTTCCATGGCATCTAATGGATTGGCTACCTATTTGCCAGGAACAGGACTGGCTGCTAGCTGCAGTAGCACCGGGGACTATTTGCACTGTTAGAGGTCAAGCTAGTCTTTTAGGTTATCTGACATATTAGTTTACTTGCTGCCTTGAACTCCAGCATTAGTCAATTGAAACAACCATACCAAGGTACTAGGCAGATCTGGCCTTTTCACCTTTAACCAGCCATGCAGTCTGGGAGTCTACAGCAGATTCTTAACAGGCCTATTTCCCCTTGACCAATCATTCTTACTGTTTAAACATTTGTTACCGTTTTATTGCTTCTTCTTGTTTCCGGCGCTTTTCGTTCTTTTCTTTCAAGTATGCCAGGTTTGTTTCATTCCTCATGCGATCGTTCTCTCGCGCAATGTCGGACGCATTCTGTATCACCAAGCCATCGTAGGCCTTCATGCCCATATCTTCAATATACTGGAGAAAAGTGCCCAAAGTAACTTCCTCCTGATTAGAATTCATCATCTTGTGGAATATAATAAACACAGCAAACACTTCCTGTGAGATGACAAAGGAGGAAGAAACAAGCCCAGGAAAATAAGTTGTTTTCAGCTTAATAGTTATTTTTTAAACTCAGTAAGGAAGAGCACATTGACAGTGGATTGAATTTATAGCAAGTGGAGCTCTTTTGTTACTCTTAGCACATTAAATGTCGTAAGACACCCTTTTTATGGTTTTATAGAAATATCAATGTATGGATCTTGGCTGCTGCCCAGTGATGTGTGCACATCTGATCCACACATGCACCCAAGTTTATTGGATTATCTTTATTCCAGCAGTTTCCCAAGCTAAATGCTTCAACCTCCGAACACTCCCTTGAGTGATAATCCATACAATAACTGGTGAAGTGTTCTACCTGCAGGAGGTTTAGGGCCAAACTACACTTTTGGGTTTTTAAAAACTTGAGTCCAGTTTCTATGGACATAACTCAGGTTCCCCACAGACACGAAGCAGCTGCAGGGAATGACTTTCTTAAAAGCAAAGGAGATCCTGTATGGACTTGGAATGCTACCCCAGGAGGTAATAGGGCTCCTGCCTTCCCCCCAAGACATTTTGGGGAGAGTTATTCGCCCATTTTGCTGGGGAGTGCTGGGAATGAGTTATTTCCCCATTTTCCACATAGAGCAGAAAAATGGGGAAATAACCCCCCTCCCAGCACCGTTCAATGAAAAGGGTTGGAGGGAAAGCAGGAACCTTTCTCCTCCCCTCTCCAACAGTGGTTTCCCAAGACAATTCGGGCTATCCCTTATTTTTAAAAAGCCATTCCCTGTAACTTCTGTTTGACTGAGAAGAACCTGAGTTAGGTCTGAGAAACCCAGACCCAGCTCATTAAAAATCCAGACATGTAGTTTGGCCCTTAAAGGGCTAAGGTGCTTGCACTAATAGTGTCCAAAGGAATAGAAATGTTTATTAACTTGAAATGGATCATTGATTGGTCCTGAGACTGTGAGTGCAGAGTATAGTTGAAAACTATAGCCCTATATTGCAATGGGAGCTGACAGAAGGTATATGAGCCAATTTTTTAACAAATTGGAAGGTATACAAGTTGTTTATAATAGGCCTGGGTATTTTTTCCTAGACTGAAAGTACTTGTGGTTTCCCCCAATGGGAAATATTTTATAGAGTTCCCCATAAGGCTAATACTTTCTAAAGGATGCTCTTTGAATCTTACAGCCTTATACAATTCAATTAAACTGAAGTACCTGGATTTAAGTCAATTGGGATTAAATCAACTAACATTCACATCCGTCTCTTTAACTGAGCTGTTTGGTCTCTTGGAACCAGTTTGGGGAAATGAGCTTTGGATGAACATCAGAGAGCCTGATGGTAAATAAATTAATAATATGCTGTTGACGGAGGCCATAAGTAAATACAATGAACATTCTGTAGCTACAAGGGTCCTTCAGAGCCACTTTGGTTCTTGAATATCTAAAATGTCAAAGTATCCACATCTCTAATAAAACATAATATGTGCATTTATATCACACACAGTATTCTCCATGCTTCTCAGCCATCTTTTCCCAAGTATTCCATAATCCTGAAGACTGGGCTGGTATTACCCTCTCCATATTACTGGACAGCTGAGACTGAAGGAATAACAATTTGCAAAAAACAACATTCATGACAGAGTTGATCTCTGTAGCAGGAATTCCTGGTTCACCACTTTCAGTGCAATCCTAAGCAGAGTTACACCCTTTGAAGGCAAAGTGAAGTCATGGCATTAATGCTTAGGATTTGCTTAGGCCTGCACTGTCAGTCTCTTTGCCACTGCACTGCACTAGCTCCCTCCAATATAATGGATGAGACAAAGTCGGCAATAATTTGATCATCGGTTTTATAATCGGAGGTTTCCTTATGTTGCTTTTGTGATTATTATTGGATATATTCAGTTTCTTAAAATATGTTAAATCTTCCTATATTTGGTCTTGTATCTCTTCTAAGAAAGTCCCCAATTCCGTTCCCAGCATCTCAAGTTAAAAGGAATGGGTGATGTGAAAGGCCCTGGGGACCCAGGGGAGCCAGTCAGAGGATTCAGAAATGACCTTGATAGACCAAGGGGCTGGCTCAGTATAAGGCAGAAACCAGAATAAAAAGATGGAACATTGCATGGCTTAATTACACTCTCTCTGCAGTTTGAATGATAATTTGGTGAAGGTCTGACCATTTCTGTATTCACTTAAGGCTATTAGGGTATTGTTTGGATTTTTTTAAGTATAAAGGTAAAGGTAAAGGTTTCCCTTGCTAAAGGTTTCTCTTGCTTGAAAGCCAGTCGAATCCGACTCTAGGGTTGCAGTGCTCATCTCCGTTTCAAAGCCGAAGAGCCAGCGCTGTCCGAAGACGTTTCCGTGGTCATGTGGCCGGCATGACTAAAAATCAAGGCGCACGGAACGCTGTTACCTTCCCACTGAAGTGGTACCTATTTATCTACTTGCAATTTCTTGCTTTCAAACTTTTTTTTTTTTAAGTATAGCACAGGACAAAATTCTTTTTATTTCCAGATCAGAACTTAGATGCAGTTGCAGGAAAGCATGAAGTATCTTACAGTGCAATCCTATGCAGAGTTACTCCAGTCTAAAGCCATTGAAATCAAAGAGCTTAGACTGGAGTAACTCTGCATAGGATTGCATTGATACAATCAGCCAATCCAATCATTTGTCAGCAGGGAAGAAATGACGCTCACTGGAGAATGCTTTATTTTTTGACGTTTGCTGTTCCTGCCAGTTTATTGTGAGGTCAAACAGTTCAGTGAATAATATTTTTCCCCTATGAGTGTTTCCATGACTAACTCCAATATCATTATAACAATTCATGTGCAATTTCTGTAAAAGTGAATAAATAATTTAGTGAGTTTGCAACCCGGCAATGAGGCAATCAAGCTTCTCTGCCTTTTAAAAATGTGCTTCTGATATGATGAACAACTTGTGGAATTCAAACGGAAATATCACCTAAGTAAAGTGAAAATGAATATAAATGAGACTCCACCTAATTCTTGGGCCACAATCCAACTAGGCCCATCCCCAGCTAGAGGAAAAAATAGGCACACACATGTAAATAGGTGTTGTATGTATGTTTTCTGACCTCAACCAACAATGTCCTCCTCTGCATGATGTGGGAACTGGGGGAGGGCTGATTTAGTGCCCTTCTCCTACTTGCCCTTCCACCAGGCAGATGGCTGGAGTTTTGTTGACATTAACACATGATGCTGGTTTATGCTGAGACAGGGCATTAGCCTATGTTCCTCCCCATTGTCTGCCCTGAATGACAGCAGCTGTCCATGGTCTCTGGCAGAGTAAGACCAGTTCTAACAGCTACTACCTGAGATGCTACGCACTGACATTGGGATGTTCACATAGCAAGCAGGTGTTCTAGCACTGGACTATGGTTCACCCGCTATGATGCCACCAGGGCTGTGACCTGCTATTTCACAAGTTTTCAAGTATGCCGAGGTGTTCAGTTCTGATCTAGCATGTGTATGATGTTACTGTATTTGTGGATACTCATTCAGTTCAGTGGCCGGGGAATCTCTTCACAAGCAGAGGGATATGACCCTCTTAGTTCTCCACTGAAGTAGTTGGGAAGAGCCTTTTTGGGATAGGAGTCCAGTATGCATCAGAGTTCATGAGTATACAAAGAGCCTCTGGGACCGGACTGCACTCTGTGAAGTGGCTGCCATCCTAACGATTGCCCAGGACGCTTCTCTGAGTGTGTAGATTCAGTGTACACATGCATATTGCAATAGATGAGCAACTCCCTGCAAATTTCCTGTTGATTTTTACAAGTGCAGGAAGAGGGGTTCCTATTTATTTTTGTCAATTTGTACTTTAAAATAAAAATCTCCCCAAAATATAGGAAGCCACTTCGGACAAACTGCTTGCCATATGCATTTGTTAAACTGCAAGCATTTAGCATCCTGCAATTTTCATGTGCAATTGCATTCATTTTAAAATCGGTGCTAAAGTGGAGGGGGGAATTAAAGACTGAAAATAGGATAGTTGTTATAATAGAGACCTTTCATATGTGATGTGAATGGCACATTTCCAACTGGTTTTAATGGCGACACATATTTTTAAGCACTGTTGGTTCTCTTTGCAGGTGGATGGAAGAATGCAAAGTTGAGAGCCACATGGTTCATGTGATACAATTCCAGACTCACAAGAACTGGAGCACACATGCCATTTCTGTCTTTTCTCTCACCTCTGCATGTTCACTTGCACATGCATTTCTGAATACAACAATTAGAGCAGCAAAGCACACTATCTTAACCATAGACATTAACCATCATTCCAGTATTAGTGTTCAAACTCTCCTTTCATAGTGTGCTTGGCTGCTTGAATTGTTCACAAGATGGTAAGCGCAAAGAGACCAGGCCACATCCCATTTCCAACAGACTGCTGACCACAGCACTGTTGTTAAAGACTTAATGGCATTGGTATATTTATAGTGGGGGGGGGGCGGCGGAGGGGGAGTTCCCCTCTGGAAAGTTTCTGCCTTTTATGGCTTCCAGAAGATAAATTATTTCTCTGATAGCCATATTGTCTATGATGCTCTCATAATATGTCTGGCTCCTGCCTTGTTAATTTTTAACCTTATTTTTTTAAAGGACATGTCTTCCAATTCCACATTTTGTTCCTCCTGGGAGTCAGGAATTAGACTTCTACAATTGATTGCCCTAGTTGTAAATGGAAACTATGTTCACCAATTTGAACAAGATACATCTTGAAAGCACTGAAAGCATAACAATAACTCCTTCTGAGGGATGAGAAATATCCTGAGTACCTCAGAGGACAAAGTTACTCTACGTCTGTCAAAGTGTACCTTTCTGCAAGCATTCTTTCAGAATGAAAGGGCTTTGAAATCCCTGTGAGTCTGGGATAGCCTGACAAAGGACGGGTCCCTCTTCCTGGCAACTCCTCAATGCCATGAGAATTCAAAGTACTGTTGGCTGTTTACTTGGGAATAAGAAG